GAGCAATTCCTCTATGGGGCTTGGTCCTGGTCCAGCTGCGCCACAGCCTGCAGGAGGTCCTGCACAACCAGGTCCACGTCTGCCCGGGTGGTGTCCCGCCCCACACTCAGACGCAAGGCATTCTGCGCCACGTCGTAGGGGATCCCACAGCTGAGCAGAATTGGGGAGGGCCTGAAACACAGACATGGGGGTGAACAGGCTTAACTTACAGGCCAGGGAAGCACATACATCACCAGAAAGCTTCAGTGAGCCGTAGGAGGAAGCACATCTGCAGTTGCGCTCTAGACAAACCTGTCTCCTGCGCAGTGCCCTGCTCGCTTTCCAAAGGCACCTGCTCCCACTAGGCTTGTTGCCCTGTGGTGGATCTCTCCCTGTCCCCATGGGCTGGCAGCTCTGCCATGTCTACGGAGCATTGCTTTAGATCAGGCGAAAAGCACCTGCTGTCCCCACTCACCCCCAAAGGAGCCTGCTGGAGACCCAAACTGGGCTTGAACAGGTGAGCCAGGCACACACGGACACAAGGCAGACTCCCTTCTTGCAGTGCCAGGCACTGAAGAGTACTTCCAAGCTCAGCTGGATCACCAAAGCCAGGAGGGAGAGTCCTTCCAACCAACAGTCAAGCATTCCAGCTGTCTCTCCTGCAATAACCTTCGCAGCCCGTCAGCCACTCGGGAAAGCTCTGCACCCTCTTTGCTCCAGGTGACGCTGCCCACAGCCACCCATGGTCCCTTTCTCTGTCCTATTTCCCTTCCTCCCACCCGCTGTCCTCTGGGAAGACACCCTGGGCCTGGCAAAGCTGGCTACTTACCGATCCCCTTGCTCAGAGTGGCAGGCAGCCCCAACACTGGCGAGAAGCGTCTTGCAGCGGGACAGCACCCTTCGCCCTGCAGCACACACAAGCACAGGTCTCCAAGTGCCCAGGCTCTCTCCGAGGGCCGCTGCCTGCCTCATCTCCCTGCCCAAGCCACGGCCAAGTGCCTGCTGCTCTCTAGCAACAGGGTGCTGTGTGGGGCAGGTGCTTGGCTCCGTGGGCACCATCACAGAACAACAGTGGGGTAAGAGCTACCTTGAAGGCCTGGGCCCAGGATGGAGAAGTTACAGGTGTTGCAGAGTCGCTTGGAGCCCATAAAGTGGCTGTTGAGGTGGATCCTTTGCTTCCCAAAGGAGGCCTGGAGAAATCAGAGGGGTTGTAAACCACTCTGGGTTCACAAGCAGCTCTGCCCTGTCGAGGAGGTGGCAGGGCCAGAGGGACATGCCCACCCTGGCTCCAGGCCCCTGCACTCTGCAGGTTCAGACCCTGGAAGAGAAGAGACAAACAAGAACCAGGTCTGCTTACCTCCAGTCTGGCCTCCAGGTAATCCCGAACATCTCGCATATGAGCCTCGTAGGCCTCCCAGTTCTTGCTCACTAACTCTGCAGCCTGAGGAGAGAAAACCCAGACAGGCTCAGTCAACAACCCATCCAACACCTCCCCATCTGCAGGTGCCCCTGGCATGTGAGTCAAGCCTGGGAACAGCCTCTGCGATTGCCAGGTTCCCCGTGTCCCCCAACAGCCTCTCGGTGCCTTGCACCATGTGAGCTGCACGACCACCCACTGCTGGGGCTGCAATGCCGGCAGCAAGTGCTCCAAAGGACCTCCTTGGGTTGGCACCAGAAAGCTCCATCTCCTTCCCCACTAGTTCACCCACCCACTCGCTCCCTGAGTTTGTCACTTCTCATGACCCGGGAGCACAGGAGGCTGTCTCCATGCCAACTCTGCCAGGCAGCACCCCCGGGAACTGCACACCCGTGACCATCACTGACCCACCTGGCCAAGGCCGGCGATCATTGGGGTGTTCTCGGTGCTGGAAGGGAAGAGGGAGCCGTGAGTTATTTCTCCAGACCAGAAACCCAAACTCGCGGTACAGACATTCTCTGTGTGCGACCCTTAACCACTGGCAGGGGGTGCTAGACATCTCTCTGAGCTGGC